TTTCATCTATAAAAGGGGAATAATAACATCTACCCTCACAGAGTTGCGTAAGGATGAAATCAAATGGCATATGCAAGTACTCAAGAGTGCCTGGTATACAGCATGCTCTATACAAACATTCATTATTATCATTGATATTATTAAAGCACCTTCAGAATTATAATATGTTAGTACTTTTTGCCTTCAGGAATTTTTCTTTCTTCCAGTTTCCTGAAAAACTTAAATAAACCAGGAAACAATATTTGAAGGAAGCTTGTGTTCGCTTAAAAACTCATCCACTAAAAATTCAGAGACTATACATATCAGGGCTCTTCAAAGTCAGATGAAAGAGGGCACACATTCTTTCACAGATCATATCTTTGTAATACTTAAAAAATAGTCAAACGATATTATTTCACATATAAAACAAAATTCTAGTCTAGTGCAGCAATGAACAAATGGTCATTACTATTTATCCCAAAAACTCTCAGGAGAAGCAGCAAATCTAACTAAGAAAATTAATAGTTCAGTTTTGGATATTCTAAATTTGAGGTACTCACAGAATACTTAACAGACATCCCAGGAAGCAGACAGAACTACAGACCTAATGTAAGTAGCTTGTCCTCAGAAGAGTTCATCATTCCCTCCTTGGTACTACCATGGTATTTGTCACAACCTATTTCATTTAAAAGATTTGTCTCCTTCTCTACTGCTAGACTACATGCCTCTTGAAGACATTCAGTTCCTGCCATATAAGAAGGACTCAGTAAAAGATTTTTAGCTGGGCACGGTGGCACATCCCTATGATCCAAGCTACCTGGGAGACAGGTGCAGGAGGGTCACTTGTGCCTAGGAGTTGGGCAACAGAGACGCCATCTAAAAAATACAAAGGTAATTTTTTTAAATGCAAAAACTGCAGAACTGTGCGATTAAAAGAATGGATTTTATTATATGTAAAAAAAATTCTGATTAATTTTTTTTTAATTTGTAGATGTTAGATAAGGATGAAATTTTCATCTGGAAGAATTCTTACAATATAAAAGTAACATGTAAACAAGAATTTTTAAATTGTTATGCTATTTATCCCCAAAATTCCCAATTTTTATAGACATGATGACATTAGAATTACTAAGCACTACTGAGCTATGAAACCTGGCATCACGACCAGACCTCTAACTGAAAAAGTACACGACAAAGCAAGAAATATATAAATGGGTAAAGTAAGGAAGAACTCATTGAAGACCCTCAAAGTGCATTTAAATTCATCAAAATTCTTAAGAAGTTCGTTAAAATACCTGTAATTTTGACTGAAAAGATTTCACTTTCAAATTTACAGGCTGTTCGAGTTCAATAACCTAAAAATGAAAAACCTCTGGACCATTCCAGTACAGGTTATTCAAAGAAGCTGTGATAAAGAGCATATAGCAAATCCGCTCAGTTATATGCACTAGATAAGGCACAACTGCTATCATCCCAATCCACTAACACTTTGTTAGACTACCAATTCCCTCCTTTAAAATCTGTAAGAAGGGGCCAGGCTCAGTGGTTCATGCCTGAAATCCCAGCACTTTGGGAGGCCAAAGCAGGTGGCTCACTTGAGGTCAGGAGTTCAAGACCAGCCTGGCCAACATGGTGAAACCCCATCCCTACTAAAAATACAAAAATTAGCCTGGCATGGTGGCATGTGCCTGTATTTCCAGCTACTTGAGAGGCTGAGGTGGGAAAATCACTTGAGGCTGGGAGGCAGAGGTTGCAGTGAGCCAAGATAAGGCCACTGCACTCCAGCCTGGGCAACAGAGCGAGACTCTGTCTCAAAAAAACAAAAACAAAAAACAAACAAAAAAAAATCGTCTGTTAAGAATGCCTCACTGGTGGTATTTACCACCCAAATTCAAAATATGGTAAGTTCTTTAGGCTCTAACACTAGGACAGACTGGGTGCCAGTTCTAAATTTAATAGCAGGTCATGACTATTTCATTTGTTCTTGGCAACTAGACAACTTTCTGTGAAGCCATTCCCCAGAAATTACACTACAATATTGTTACTTATTTAGAGGCCAGGGAGCCAAAAGAACAACAACTCATTAATAGTGAATGGATGGGGAAGACAGCAGCAGAGGATTGAAAAGCAGCAATATAAACAGGCTTAGAACTATGAACAGCAGCACTAAAGTAGGGATTCACGGAATGAAATTACTGTAACACCAAATAAATACAGCAGCTGAAGTCCACACTTTCTCATTTGAAAGATACATAAGTACGGCCATAACACCCTGAACGCGCCCGATCTCGTCTGAAATATACATAAGAATTAAATGCATACTGATTCTAATTTTACATAATCAAAAGCCTAAAAATCATATACCAATAGAAATATTGGTAAATTTAAAAAGATTCTCCCAATTTTGGCGCTATTTCCCTGTTCTATGAAAAAATTCATAAGGGGGAAAAAAATAACTTCAGACTATAAATGATGAATGTAACTATTAGGAGTGGACTCTCTATGAGGTCTGAAATAGAAGGAAAATGTACATTTCTTCCAGAGCTGTAGCCAACAATAACTTTTGCATTCCGAATCCAGCTTAGGTACATTGGTTGGGAAGATGTTTGCAAAAGTATTTAAAAAGAAAGTGCTGAATTTAGCCTTTATTTTATCCTCAGTTTGTTTTTTTTTTTAATGGCCCAAGGGCCATCAAATGCACTAAATAGAAACTCTCCTAAGTATAAATGACAAAAGAATATACTACTGTATAGCTTTTTTAAATTTAATTTTTAATTTTTATGGGTTTCTTTTTTAACATTTTATTTTTAATTTTGATGGATACACAGATTTATTTAATTTTTATTTTTTAATTTGTGAGCTTTCTTCTTAAAGACAACTTGTCTTTTACAGGTCAGAGGTTATCAAACTTTTTCTGCAAAAGACCATATAGCAAATATTGTCAGTTTTACAGGCCATATAGTTTCTGTCACAAATACTCAATGGCACAGAGCATGAAGGCTTCAACAGACAACAGATAAATGAATAAGCCTGGCTATGATACAATAAAATGTTATTTACAAAAACAGGCAGCAAGCCCATGGTCATAGTTTGTTGACCTCTGTTATAGGTCATCTGTTTTTAACTTTACTAACAAGTATATTATTTTAATAAACACTATGAATTTTGAAATAAGATGTCTGAGATTTGCTTTAAAACACTTTTTTTAAAAAAAAAAAGAGAGAGTAGGGGAAAAGATTAAATAACACTGAAAAAACACAATTATTGTTAAAGCCAGTTTATGGATATATGGATATCATTACACTATAAGTTTATAAGTTTGAAAGTTCCCAAATTAAGTTTTTTAAAATACAAAGTAAATCAATGAACCATCTCCACAGAAAAATGAATTGTCACCTTACTCTAAACCTTTTAAAACACACTTTTAAAAACATAAACATAATTAACATAATACAACATAAAAGGTTCTTAATATAAAGCCACTAAACTATAATGAAAAAAACTGATCCACAAAAATGTATATAAGCATAAGCCCTTAAAATTTCCCATAATTTAAAATATAGGCTCACTCCATACAGTTGCTAAATATGTTAAATTTATTGGTATCTCATCTGAAAGGTGTTATCAATTTTTGGCTTTAGAATATTTTTATTAAAAATATATTATTTATATTAACATATAATAGGTTTATCACTTCTCAAGTTAATACATAAATTTCTTTCTTTTTAAATTCTCAGTAATTCTGGGCAACATGGTGGAACCCTGTCTCTACTAAAAATACAAAAATTAGCCAGGCGTGGTGGCATGCCCCTGTAATCCCAGCTACTTGGGAGGCTGAGGTGGGAGAAGAGCTTGAGCCCAGGACATGGAGGATGCAGTGAGCCGAGATTATGCCACTGGACCCCAGCCTAGACAACAGAGTGAGACCTTGTCTCAAAAAAATTTTTTTAAATAATAAATTTCAAGTAATAAATACTAATAGATATAATCCTCATAAACAAATATTCTTCAGAGTCTTCAATGATCCTTCAGTTAAAGGATCCTGAGGCCAAAAAGTTTGAGAACCTATGACCTAAATGTTTTCAATGTTGTATAAAGTAAGTTCTTTATGCAATTATAAGACATATGCTCAATCTCATTTTACCTTTGAACAGTAATCATCACACAGTGGTGTTAATCCAACTGTGAAGGCTATCAACATACAGCCACAAGAGGAAGACACTTAAACTTTCAACAGAAATATTCTTTTAAACTACCTGATAAGTCATGAATAACATATCCACAGGAAAAGAAGGGCGCTATAATATGTTGTCCCCCAGCTTATACGAACAATTGTCTCCTGAACCAATATAATGAAAAACTAGTATATATCAACAGACATTTCTAATAAATATGCTACCTGTTACCAAATCAAGAGATGTAGTCTCACTCAACGCAAGAAACCAGAAATCAAGCTGAAGAGAGCCTTGAGAAAGAAATCTTAATGACTCTGCAATTTCCCAAAGATTATACATCTGTTTTTTAAATGCTCTGTTTTTCCCCCAATGTTCTGAAATACAGTGATTTCAAATATTATCAAAACTAAAAACTAATTTAAATTAGGATTATTATGGCAGTTGAAAAAAACTAAGAACTTCCATGTGAAAACATTTCAACTGTCCAAGAATATAATCAGTCTCAAATTTTTCTAAATCTATAAACTAGAATAGAAATAAACAATCCACAACACAGACTCTGGCAAATAATAATTAGAGCAAGTGTGTTTACATGATTATTCATCCTATCATTTATAAAGAAAGATGAGCCAAAACTAATTTTTCAAATACAGTATCATTGTATCATTTTTAACAAATTTTGCCTCTTTATATGGCAATTTTAAATGTTACCACAGTATTTCATTTTTACTTGATTAAATACAAATTATTTCCAAGTTAAGTTTTACAAATGTTGCTGTACCTATTGTCTTTCAACATGAATAAATTTAAAATAGCAACAGCAACAGCATGCAGAGACGTACTTACATCATACTCTGTAACTCTGCTGCAAAGCTTACAGACTTCCCCGTACTCCTTCCACCGCTTGAAGTTGCAGAAGCCATTGGACTAGCTGCAGTATTATTCATCTAAATAAAAAGGAGAAATAAAGCTTACAAAACATACCTAGCTATAAGTAAAAAAAAGAAAGCAAATACAAATTGCTTCAAAAAGTAGAGAAAATTTAAATTTTTGATTTCTGTTTTGCATAAAACTGATTCACTTATACTGAATGTTCTATATTAAAATGAAACAGCAAGATAGGAAAAAACTAGTTTAGTAAGATGTTGGCCAATTATCCACTTCAGTGATAAACACTTTAGCACCTATTTTACAATAGATAATGTAAAAAACAATATTTATCAACATATTTTACTAGAGCTCATTGGTTTTCAAAATGTGCTTCAGGGAGCCCTATGGTTCATCAGCAATGCTTTAGGATGTTCCAGGTTGACCCTAAGCACAACACACCCCCAGCTTCATTCAGACTACCAGAGCAACTCTGATTTTTCTAGTTGAAATATGAAGGTTCAAAGTAAGATTTCATTTAAAGAAACAATTCCACCGGTAAAAGATGCAAAATTAGAAAACTACAGCATAAATTCATTCCCATTTGAACCAAAGCCTGAAATACAAATGTCAATCAGTAGATCAAAAGTATTGCAATATTTTATAATCCTATGGGTAAATAACTTACTCAATTTAAAATATGACTTTTTCCCAATAAAATTAAGGTGATTCATAATGATAATTCAGTGCCAATCTAATGTGTGCCATTTTACTTAATGCATTAAAAATATTAGTAAGCAGGATTTAAAATAATGTCATGAAAGTAGGCAAAGCCTCAACTATTATACTCTAATACTAGAAGTGCTCAAGAAATGTTAGCTATTATTTCATATGTTTGTATAAACTTTGCAAAGCTGTACTTTTCCTTAAAATATTTTTTGCAGATTCTAAAGAAGAATGTAAGATATTTAGAACATGTGATAAAGTAAAGCAGTGCAGAGGACTTTCAGTAAACTAAGAGGGCAAGTTCTAGAGTCAGACTGCCTAGATTTGAATCCTAGCTCTGCTCCTTTGCTAAGACTTTGGGCAAGTTACCTAACTTCTCTGTGCTTCAGTTTCCTCATCTGTAAATGGCAATGATAACCTCACCATCTTAGGGCAGTTGTGAGAATTAAATGAATACATACAAACATTTAGAACAATACTTATAGCACACAGTGAATATACAATCAATGCTAGCTATTATAATAAACAGACCCTAAGAATTCCCTCTTCCCTTAAAGGGGAAAGTTAAAGAATAAAAAAGAATTCCCCTTCTTGAACTGCTAAAAACTTTTACATAAATTTAGATATATTACCCTTTTCTCACAATCACACAAGTTTTTAAAACTTAAACATTTTTACTGAAAGATCTCCATGCAATTAAACAAATATTAAGTAGCTTCCTTTTGAGTTTTCATTGACGACATCACTACAACTACTAGTCACTTGGGCTCAAAATCTCAGTCACTACCTTTGACTCCTTCTCCTACACCCCACAATTGGCAAGAAATCAAGTAAATTCTACTTTCTGTATGTTCTCATATCTCTCCCCTCTTGTGCTACTGCTAAGGGCCTCTAAAAACTCTTATTTACATCTTCTATCTCCATCTCAGTTCATTCTCCATACTACTGCCAAATTTATCTTCTTAATGTATCTAATCTGACCACTCCTGTGGCTAATGATAAAATTCATAAAGGGAACCTAAACCCTTTATGGGTCACTTACCAAGGGCTGTGATGGAAGGGCTGGGCCCGACGAAAGAAGGTTGGGGAAAAAAAGCTATTACAAATCATTGCTGGAGATAGGCCTTATAAGAAGCTTTTAAGAAGGCGACAGGACAAAGATCCAAGGCAAGCAGCACACTAGCTAGGTGACTAGGTTTGGAACATCCCAATATTCCTCTGGTCTAGTCTGAGGCCCTAACAGCCAGGCCAAAACCACTATACCAAAAATGCAAGAGCACAAAAAGAGAAGAAAAACAAAAACATTCCACTCAAACTGGAACCTGAAAACCAAAATTCTCAAACATATGAAGAACATAATGCTAAGAAAGACCATCACTTTTGTTAAACCTAAATTTGTGCCACTGTTTAAAAAGACTTTTGGAAAAAGTACTTTTCTCTACAAATAACATAGGAAAAGAAACATAACCATTTGAGACTTGGATTTAAAAAAAAAAAAAATACATCACAAGTCCAAGACTGGGGGGAAATAGGAAACCAAGGACTTCCACAAATAGTCCTGCAGAATCAGGACAAAATGCGAAAAAAGGGAGCCTGGATTTCTCAAAGACCTCAGGAAATGTCCTTCTCTTGTACCAATAGAAGGTGACAGAGCTATCTTGGAGAACATGTTAAACTCAAAAGAGTATGTATTAACCCTAGCTTCCAGAAAGTTATGATTTGAGTTGACTTGTCAGATCTGACAGACATGCCATTCCGTGGGATTATCCTATGGTCAAATGTCCTGAGACATTTCTGGAGAGATCTGGTCCTTTTCCATTTTCAAATCCAGTCACCCAAACCTAGTTTATTACAACTATCATCATCCTTTTCACAGTCAAGTCAATTTTTATATCAAACAGGTGAATAACATTTTTCTTGACATGATGAGCTGGTAGCTCATTACTCTTTAATTATTTCCCGTACCCACATTGTTTGATGATTTAGATAATTAACTGCTTTTGACATTAACTTCTTTACACATCAAAGTCCTATCATTCCAATGCTCTATTTCCTTTCTTCTAGACATTTAAAAAAAAAAAAAAAAAAAAAAAAAGTCTGTTAAAAGCAGGAGCACTCAATTTTCACTAATAAATACAGTTACCGTGGAACTGAAAACCTACTGTAATCTTCTCAATGGGTTAATGTCCTGCAGTTGTTTCAGCTTTCAATTGAAATGCATCTGTTTGCCATATTTTCCAAAATGAATTCAGATGTGCAGATTGGGACCTAGATTATTTCAACATGCCAAAGTTTGAATGTGAACCCAAGGAGTAAGTTCATATCTGATTAACAGTATTTAAATCTGATCATTAATCTAATAACTAATACTATAACACACCTGTAAAATTGTGTTTCAGAGAGAAAAAACTGCCATTTACCTTTAATTTAAAACAATAGAATTTAAGGATATACTCCTTTCCTGAGAAAATACTGCTATCAAAAAAAAAAAAAAAAAAAAGGTTTAATTGTAGTGAAGTTAAACATCACAGAAAGTGAATTAAACAAAATGCAATGAACATGCTACTGGGTTTCTAGTTAAGAGCTCATATTTTGGGAACTAAATGGCCACAGAAGAAATACCATGAAATATCTTGAAGCTTAAAAGACCTGAAATTGTTGAGAACCTTATTATTAGTTTCTGCACCCTCCAAACATCATCAAAATCTGGACTGCGAAAATTATCAGTCAACCCATTAATTTTTTTTAAAGTTTTTATCTTTTTCTTATACTGCTGAAGGGAACTATTTCAGCAGACCTACATACCGATTTGGAGCATCTACAGAGTCTCAATTGTAATGATAACCTGAACATCCCACATAAATTAACAGAAAACTTTTATAATTAGAACATTTTTATTTTCATAAAATTCCAAAGCCAGGAAGCAATTATGGCTAAGCCAACACTATTATACACTGCGTTTTGTTGTTAAAAAAAAAAAAAAATCAGGTTACATCATGATCTAAATTTCTTCTAATGTGAAAAATAATACCAAATGGTCAATCACTGAGAATGCAAAAACGTAAAAATTAAATATTCAAAATAGCTATAAAAACTTCTAGACCTACTGTATAGAATAACACAATGGTAATTTCAATATATTAATACATGCCCCATTTTAAGTGGACTTTGGAAGGCATTAAGAAGCCTGGTTTATAAACTTATCTCAAATCAGTCCCACCTGCCCTCCCCAGCCTCCTTTCCTACAGTAGTCAAATCAAACTTTCACTATCTTCAGAACCATCCCATGTTCTTTTGCACCTTTACCTCTACAGTTCTTTCTACTCACAATACTTTTTGAAACAATACAATATCTCTCAATCTATCCAAACTCTACTGACCTAAGCCCATCTCCAAGAAACCTTCCCAGATACATAACAAAAGAAATTCTTTCTGACATCTAATTATTTTAGTTTATATTAGTTTAATATTTAACTACTTTAGTACATACTAATTATTTTAGTTGAATAAGCCTCTGTCCCACAGTGAATCCCTCCCCCAACTATGGACAGATGACATCTTCTTCTACTTCCAGAGAAATGAAAAGCTATCATTTAGTAATTCCCTCCACTCTCCTCCACCAAAAACACTGGATCCTCCCTTAATTCACATCTCTTATAGTAAAGACATCCTCTTATTTAAAGCCAATGCCACCAGTGATTTGGATTCTTCATACTACTGGGTATCTGCTACAGGCCAAACACTGCTCTAAGAGGCAGGGATAAAGCAGTGACTAAGTCAGACAAAAAGAAATATATTATAATGCAAGAAACAAGCACATAAATGTAATTTGAGGTAATAACAAATACTATTAAAAAAAAAAAAAAAAAAAAAAAACAAGTTGATTTCAACTAGGAGATGGCATTTAATATAAGATCTGGGAGGGAGCTCAGGAGAACTTCCCAATAAAAAGAATGGCAAAGTACCAAAATCCTGTGGTCAGTGTGGCTGGAGACATGAATACAGAGGTAGCAAAAGGGCAGGTCTTATAAAGCCTTCAGGCCACAGGAGTTCACATTTCACTTGAGTGTAATGTGAAGCTATTAGAGAATTTTGTTTTGTTTTGTTTTGAGATGGAGTTTTGCTCATTACCCAGGCTGGAGTGCAATGGCACGATCTCGGCTCATCACAACCTCCGCCTGCTGGGTTCAGGCAATTCTCCTGCCTCAGCCTCCTGAGTAGCTGGGATTACAGGCACGCGCCACCATGCCCAGCTAATGTTTTGTATTTTTAGTAGAGACGGGGTTTCACCATGTTGACCAGGATGGTCTCGATTTCTTGACCTCGTGATCCACCCGCCTCGGCCTCCCAAAGTGCTGGGATTACAGGCGTGAGCCACCACGCCCAGCCAAGAATTTTGAAAAGGGAAGTTACTTCAAATGTTTTAGGTTTTAAAAGATAACTCTGGCAGCTGCAAGAATGTACTCTACAGAGGCAAGAGTGCAATCAAGTTAGGAAGTTACTGAGGTTGTGCAGACAAGAGATGACAGTGGCTTAAACTAGTTTAACAAGTAGAGATGATGAGAAGTGGTCAGCTTTCTGGAATATATCTTGAAAGGAGAACTGACTTGCTGATGGATTAGACATGGGGCCTGATAGAAGAGCAGTCAAGGATGACTGAATTCTGGGGGCCTTAGAAACCGGTTGAATGGTGGTGCCATTTACTGAAATCCAGAAGCCTAAGAAGGGGAAAAAAAACAGTTCAGTTGGGGCTATGTTAAGTTTGAAACAACTAGTAGACAACTGAAATAAAATCACGGTCACAGGATTTCTGTTAAGAAGGATAATTAGTCAATGTAACAGAACTTTGTGTAAGGATCAACTAATCTCGTAAGTTCAGTTTCTCTGTCAGGAATAATTTGTCTCACAGGGTTCCATATAATGAGCACTAAAAGAAAATCTGAATTGAAAATAATATCAAAACACCCTATAAACCATGAAACTACCCCCTTCCTTTCTCTCTAGATGAGAAACAGCTAAAACTGTTTAGCTTTACATATCCTACATGAGTATCTTTTTAAATTAACAGGCATAGGAACCCAGTGATAGACTGCTCAGACACAGGAGTTTCTATTTTATTCTCCTTCTTTAGTCTCATATTCAGTTTGTATTCCATATGCTTTCATATCCAGCACTCTTACAGAAAAATAGGGTTAAAAAAAAAATCTTCGCAAAAACAGACCCTAAAGTACACGGCAAATGTGCCTATCAGATTATCCTTAAGCCCTGACAAATGGCACATAGCACACTTACTTTTCCAACGTTAAAACACTGTTGTTTTTACACAAAATTAATAGAATTACTTAATGGTTAACTTTTGAGATATGTGGAAGATTCTGGCACCAATTATACCCCTAACAGTAAGAGGTAAGTGTATTTGACAAAGACGTCAAAAAAATAAGCAGTTCTCTTAAAAGTCAAGACTCTCTTCCACTCTAGATTCCTATTTTAGAAATAATAAAGCTTACGAGAATTCTAATTTAATTTTTGTAAATTAAACTATTTACAAAATATCTGATGTGTTTCAAAACATAGTTTGTGTGACCAAAAAGAAAAAGGAATGGGAGTTTTACTGTAGGCTTGTAAAAAATAGATTAATTTGGAGTTCCTAAAAGGTGTTTCACCTGTATTCGCTCACTTTTTCTTTTTCACAATTACCCTACAAAACTAATATTCTCCCTCTACCAATGAGGAAACTAAGTAAAAATACTGGCTGAAGGTCACAAATCCAATAAAAATCGGGCTTTGATCCCAGATAGCTGATAACCTGAAATATTCAGGCCATTTAGATACCTTACCTTTTAATAAAAATCCTCTCATTTTAGTGCCTTAGTTTTTTCATTCTCTATCTCCTAACACACTAAAATATTGTGAAATCAGCAGTCAGGGGACTTACATGGTCAATAAGTTATCTTGGAGACTGATGACTTTAAACACACAGTTAAGAAATTTTTCGTGTAAAAGAAAATCTTAGGAAGATGGATAAACAACTATACTAAACAAATATATATGCAAATTGGTGGGAGGGGAACCAAAGACATCTGAGCAGACTTCAGAACTACAGTTTGAAGATCACTAATTTCCTCCAAATCCCTCATTTTTCAGGTGAGGAACTGAAGTCCAGAGGGGTTTCTTGAACTGCCCAAGGACACACTACTATTTAGTGATACAAGCTGGGACTAAAACTGAGGTCCCCCGACACCTGGTCCAGAGTTCTTTCTACTACACAACAAGGAATATACAAATAAAAGTTTATCATAACTAACCCACATTGCCTCCACAATGCGTATGTCACAGTGAACTGTGTTGTGAAATATTAATATCTGCCTATGCCAAACCACAATGGGAGCAGTAAAGAGCTAGGCTCTGGATTTCAATTATAGACTCTAACACTTACACATGACCTTGGGCAAGTTATGCCACCTCCCTGCCTCAGTTCCCTCATCTCTAAAATGGAGATTAAAATTACTTCTCTCATAGGTTACATAAATAGTGTGTGTAACGCCCTTAGGATAGTGCCTTGTACATATAAGGCGTATAGTTTATGCCAACAATGATGATGATGAACTCAAGCAAAAGCATAGCTTCTTGAAAATATATCACAAAAGATTATGTTAGACAGGTATATTCTCAAAGAATGTTATGACTAAAAGTAGGCTTTTAAGACTAATATGAATAAAGTGAAATACGCAGAATTCAGTGAAAAAACCACTATAGTATTTAAATCAGCAAAAGTAATTTCGATATTTTTAATGATTTATATTTGTATGTTATTTTAGTTTATAAAGCATATTCAAACAAATTATTTCAATTTACTATCCTGTGAAGTCAACAGCATTTTATTCAGTAACTCCTACATACCTACACCAAACAGCACACTATTTTATTTATTTTTTTTTTTTTGAGATAAGGTCTCTCTCTCCGTCCCCCCAATGGAGTGCAGTGGCACAATCTCAGCTCACTGCAATCTCCACCTCCCCTGCTCAAGCAATTATCCCCACTCAGCCTCCCAAGCAGCTGGTACTACAGGCATGAACCACCAAGCTTGACTATTAATTTTTTTTTTTCAAGATGGAGTTTTGCTCTGTCACCCGGGCTTCAGTGGTGCAATCTTGGCTCACTGCAACCTCTGCTTCCCAGCTTCAAGCAAGTCTTGTGCCTCAGCCTCCCAAGTAGCTGAGATTACAGGTGCACACCAAGACACCTGGCTAATTTTTGTATTTTTAGTAGTGGCAGAGTCTCACCATATTTGCCAGGCTAATCTTGAACTCCTGACTTCAGGTGACCCACCAGCCTCAGCCTCCGAAAGTGCTGGGATTAGAGGTTTAAGCTACCACAACTGGCCCAGCTAATTTTTGTTTCTAATTTTTTGTAAAGACCAGGTCTCACTATTTTGCCCATCACTCTTAGACTCAAGCAGTCTGGGCCCATCTTGGCCTCCCAAAGTGCTGGTATTACAGGCATGAGTCATAGCGCCAGCCACTATTTTCATGTTCATCATCTTATTTATCCTTCACTACCCATTAACTACAAGCCAGATATTTTCAGAGGGAAAATTACAGTACAGAAAAGCTTGACAGACTCATTCTAGAAAGTAAGAGCCTCATTAGTATAATCTATTAGGTGGGAATATGTTTGGATAAATTAGATACAATGGAAGGACCTCATCAAATGCCCAAGAAAATGGTTCTCCCTTAGCAGAAGTATGGAGTTGTTTTATGTAGAAAATATACTGTGACCAGATCAATAAAGCACTTACGACAAAATTGTAAAGTGACTTATAATATTATTTGGGTTTTTTTGTTTGGTTGGTTAGTTTTTGAGACAGAGTCTTGCTGTGTCACCCAGGTGGGAGTGCAGTGGCACGATCTCGGCTCACTGCAACCTCCACCTCCCTGGTTCAAGCGATTCTACTGCCTCAGCCTCCTGAGTAGCTGGGGCTACAGGCGTGTATCACCATGCCCGGCTAATTTTTTGTGTTTTTTAGTAGAGACGGGGTTTCGCCATGTTGGCCAGGCTTGTCTCCAAATCCTAACCTCAAGTGATCTGCTCACCTCAGCCTCCCAAAGTGCTGTGATTACAGGTGTGAGCTACCATGCCTGGCCTGTGACTTGCAATATTATTTGTAAAAGAGAATTGCCTTTATTAATGGTGCTTATTACTATCTATGCTGTTACACAAAATTTACAAAACATTTTTTGCAGGTCACTCTTTAGTGGAGGTTGTAGGCAGACAAGATGAGACAAAACCAATTCAACATAAAAATGTTTGTAAAGTAAGACAACAATTTTTTTTTTTTTTTTTTTTTTTTTTTTTTTTTTTTTTTTTTTGCGACGGAGTTTTGCTCTTGTTACCCAGGCTGGAGTGCAATGGCACGATCTCGGCTCACCGCAACCTCCGCCTCCTGGGTTCAGGCAATTCTCCTGCCTCAGCCTCCTGAGTAGTTGGGATTACAGGCACGAGCCACCATGCCCAGCTAATTTTTTGTATTTTTAGTAGAGACGGGGTTTCACCATGTTGACCAGGATGGTCTCGATCTCTTGACCTCGTGATCCACCCGCCTCGGCCTCCCAAAGTGCTGGGATTACAGGCTTGAGCCACCGCCCCCGGCCAAGACAACAATTTTTAAACGTAGTTCTCATTTGATGCCACCAACAGTCCTATGAGAAGGTGGGATGAGGTAGCATACTAATTCCATTTTACTGATGAGGAAATTGAGGCTCAGATATAAGTTAAATACCTTAACTGAAATGACAAAAAGAATGCGGTAGAAAAGGGCAAAGCTAGGTTTACAGAATTGGGTCTTGGTGTTCTGTCCACCAACCCACAGAACATCTCAGAATATTATTATCACTTCTAGATTATTAATAAACTTAAGGCTACAGCAGCCTAAATCTAAATTAACCTCTTATGAACCTAGAAGCAGATGCCATTACCATCTACATTTTATAAATGAGGAACCTGAGTATTCTTAGGAAGATTAAATAACTTATCCCAAATTACATGGTTAGTAAGCAGCAGAGTCAGAACACAAATCAAGTGTTAGAGCGTCAATAAAATATTTTACCCACTTCAGCATAAACTGAATAATGCACGTGGCTGAATTATTTCTCATTATTTAAGTAAACTGTAAGCAAAACCCTTCTTTAACATTCTAATACATAATCAGATTTCTGATGGATTTCACTATTCAACCTCACCATAAAATAAAATCGGTGTTATTGCAACACAAATACTCAAACTCCTGATTTGACTGACATGGACTAACATGCTTTGCAGTCACCTCTATCAAAAGATAATTTTTTCCAGAGGGAACCAAAAATCAAGCTGCTCAAGATTTCTAACCAAAGCAAAATTTTAAAATTATCAGTGGCTTAAATGGGAAAGTCACTTGCTGGCCTTATTCCATGTATCTCATTTATTATTTAGACCCAAAAACAGTAATTTTGTCACTGTTTTAAAGTATATTTCTGACCGAGCACGGTGGCTCATGCCTGTAGTCCCAGTACTTTCGGAGGCTGAGGCAGGTGGATCACTTGAGGTCAAGAATTCAAGACCAGCCTGGCCAACATGGTGAAACCCTGTCTCTATTAAAAATACAAAAACCAGTCGGGCATGGTGGTACATGCCTGTAATTCCAGCTACTAGGGAGGCTGAGGCAGGAGAATTGCTTGAACCTGGAAGGCAGAGGTTGCAGTAAGCCAAGATCCCACCATTGCACTCCAACCTGGGCAACAAAAGCGAAACTCCATCTCAAAAAATAATAGTAATAATAAAGTAATTATGATACTGCAACATGGTTAATTGTCCTAAAACTATATATTACAAATTCCAACAAGGCTGACAGTAGGATGACATTATGTGGTCCCAACTGGAGCATTTTTGATAGTGAAAGGGGCTCTATTAAATAACGGTGCTGGAACAATCAGGCTTTAAGCCATGACTGTCTCAGAAAAATTAAGGTATTATGGTCACCCATAAAAGTACCCCATTCTGATTCATATATTATGAGCTATTCTCATCCGATTAACTCGTGAGCTTTAAGTTATTGTTCCAGATCTAAAGATTATCTTCGGCCTTGAGATCAAGAACATCATTTATTTATTTATTTATTTATTTATTTATTTTTAAGAGACAGGGTCTCCCTCTGTAGCCCTGGCTGGAAGGCCAGGCCTAACCATGACTCACTGCAGCCTTGAACTCTTGGGTTCAAGAGAACCTCTGGCCTCAGTCTCCCAAAGTGCTGGGATTACAAACATGAGCCAACTGCCTGGCCCAAGGGCATCATTTTACAGACATCAGGTCAAGCAACTGAAAAAAAAAACAAAAACAAAAAAACAAAAAAACAGATGCACATATTTCAGGGAAAGTACTTTTGTGAAACATCACCTAATTTCACTTATCTCTCCAAAAGATTTGGATAACCATGAAACTAGTTCTAAAATGTCCCAATACTCAAGAGCTACAATTTTTCAAATCGATTTACTATACAAAAGGTTAAAAAAGAAAAAAACTTAAATAAAAGAGCTGGAAAGTTCTCGCTGAAAACTAACCAAAGTGGTAAAAGATAGTAGAAACCCAAAATCACAATATACTACAATAATGTTTAAAGAAAAATCCAGTTAATATTGTCATAGGTCTGTGAATCTGGCATAAGCTGTATAACCTAGGAGACGAAAGAATGCTTTGCTTTGTCAAGATGTAAATAAGTACTTACAGACCCATGCTCTGAACTTCAGTATTTGAAAATGAAAGGCATTATTTGAATATAATGATGATTCCCTAAGGCAATAAATGTTGCAAAGAGTTGGCTTCTTTGATTTAAAACTCAACCGTATTAAGAGTTGGAAGGACTCAAAAATCTCAATTGTAGACCTGTGCTGTCCAATGCAGTAGCCACCAGTAGCCACCTGTAGGTATTTAAACGTAAATCAACTTATTAACTTATGAATAAAATTAAATATTAAGTTCCTCAGTGATACTCATCGCATTTCAAGTGCTGAAGAGTCACTGTGCCTAGTGGCTACCACTAATGCCTACTGGCACAGATTATAGAACATCTCCATCACGGCAGAAACTGCTACTGAAAAGTGCAGCTCTAGACTTAGGCACACTTTGCTCCAATGTCCTGAATATCTTGAGATAAGAAACTTTTAATAGCACAAAGACGTGCATTCCATTCTTGCAAAGTACTATCAAGAAATGTTCCTCTTAGTCAAATTCAGCCTCTTTGAAACATTCACCAGAAATTCCCAAGTTCTGTGCTTCAAGTAAATCTTTGCAGGGCGAATTTAATTACTCTTCCAAAGAGACCCCAGGTCCTCTCCTTCCAAATAAATATATATACAAACACATATATACATATATAAACACACACGCATATATATATATACATATGTATATATACATACACATTTCTTTCTACCGAAATCGTTTACTATTTCTATTAACCTCATTGAGAAATGCTAATTTATCCACGTGTACAGTAATACTATGTCCAGGATCGTCGGAGTGTCAATATTACATAGCACTATCTTCATAACTTCACTCTCACTTGTCAGAAAGTGTCCTGATTCTCCGAGAAGATAAGGTCACAATCATTCTGAACTCCCAAAACATGGAGAGCAAAAGTAGAGCTAACATGTAATGAGCAGTACCTGGCGCTGTTCTAAGCTTTTTAACGTGTATTTTCTCACATCATCGTCCCAATGCTGAACTAGGCAATAAGATCGCCATTTTACAGACCAAAACGAGGCAAAGACAAACTCAGTAATTTCCCCAGGGGTCACAGACGTGAGCTCACCCCACAGAGAACACAGCCAATCTTTTCCTCTTTCTGGATGCTACACTCTCACTACCTACCTAACTCTTCTCTCGCCCTGCCATAAAGCAACAACTTCCCTCTTTCATGATTCCCCCTGCAGTCCCCAGCACTACCTAGATGACCCGTGCACCCCGCTTCTTAACACAGCCCAGCCCCCCTCACCCCACGCCCACCGCCGACAGGGAGGAGTCGAGAGTCAACTCCACGCTCTGCGGCGGAACCGGGGCGCTGCGCCCGGCCAGCGCCTCCCACGGCCGCCCTCCCTTCAACCCTCCGGCGTCGACGCGGAAGACCCAGGCGGCCGCCCGCGAGCCGGGGCCAGGGCGTGGCCGGCGCGGGGACCCAGATACGCGGGGATCTCCGCGCTGCGTCCCTCCCGGCTCCCCGAAGTCTCCCCCACCCGCACCGTCCCCCGCACGCCCCACAACCTCTGCTTTAAGAACCCTTGTAGGCACGGCTGCGCTTCCAGCGTGGAGAATGTGGGGGTGATGATGCGGTTTCTGCTGCTGCGGCCCGGGACACGCTTGGAAAGGGGCGGGGTGGGGGGCAGGGAATGTGGAGTGTAGAAAGGCAAAAGGTGACTCGGCAGTGTGGCGGGGGGCATGGGGGGGTGCAAGATGGCGTGGGCGGGGGTTGAGGAGACTAAGGAGTTAGCGCTACGGACACCCCCAGCACTCGCGGTACCTGCGCATGCGCGCTCGGCCGAGTGGCGCGCGGCTCCCAGCCCGGCAAGCTACTTCCGCCACGCTCGTCTGGGCGGGGCGTTCTGCGCCGCCCTCAGGGCCCGGCGTGGGCAGAACTGAGCCACGCGGCGGCCTTTAGAGCGGGGACGGCTGGGAGCGGTATGGGGATGAGTTGAGATCCCTCAGGGTGTAGGGTACAGGCTGAATTATGTAGGAATTGGGGCCGAGAGGGCTAGGATTTTGGAAGGATCGATTAGCGACACTGGAAGTTGATTTTCCACTCCAGGGAAGAGATTGACCGTTGTAAGGTTCTTTCCAGGAATTGGGGTGAACGGGATCTTGGGATTGCGCGTTTAGAATAGTGAATGAAAACGCTCCCGCCAGGGCCGCAGTGCGGGCGTGTGGACGTGGAACCCGTTCTGGGACGGCGAGACCAGCCCTTCCGCCGCTCCCGCGCGCCGTCACTCCCTGCCTTGACCTCGCACAGAATCTTTGCCATTAATCTGCAATTAATATTTTTCCCCAAATCATGTTACTAGACGCAGGCGTTTAACTACCATGTATTGTTATAGAAAACTTACTCTACTTGAAGGCTTTTTTTTTTTTTTTTTTAAAGACCATTCTGTGTTTAGGTTTTGGCCTATCCCTAATTTTAAAATCTTGCTTCCCTGGTATTGAACTGTATATCCTGTCCTTCCACATTTGATCGATACAGATGTAGTTCTTGAAATAATACAGTAGTTGTAAGGCAATGATTTCAGTCTTTTATTCTTTATATAATATGAAGTCTTATTTATAGTTTAACATTCTTATTGGCTGCTTAAAGAAGAAAACCGATTATCCATACTCACCTTCACGCCTGTGACGTCAAATATATGAAATAACTTACAGGGATTCAAGTATTAACCTTCACCAAGTCTTTTTAAGCATCACTGCTTCAGTTATTTTCTTGCCTATAGATACTGTATGTGAGTTCTGAAATAATCCCTCCTGTTTGCTTAAATTGTTTAAAATAGCAACTTAATTTGGTTATTTCCTCTGCAGATTGTAGTTGAATCTGCTAATGTTGTGTTTGATTCTCTTTAATCTCCCCAATGCTTCAATATTTGCCAAATACCTAAAATTCCAAAAGAATAAATATATTTAGAATGTGAGAGTTCAGCATAATGTGTAAATCAGGGCTCAATTCATTGCTGGCCAAAGTGTGCAGTATAAGGAAAAGTAACAGAGAGTGAGTATCGTAGTAACTGCTTACATAGGAAGACTGGTTGAAAAGCTCTTTTGAGTACATTACCAAGAAATTAGTTAACAGAAGATTAAGAGAAAAATTAATGTTCACATCTAAAGAAACCACTTCAAATAGACCATTTCAGTTAAAATTATGTCCAATAAATGTTGTCATAGAAGTTCCTGCACTGGAGTTTCACCTGCATCAGATGAGTGCCTGTTTGACCCAGTTTATCAGAATAGAATCCAGATCATCTTACTCTAGAATACTGGTGTCCAGTCTGCATATAATCACACACAACAGAAGTTAATGAGAGTGAGACATGGAGAAGGGAAACTGAGTTAAGGCATTGATACAGGAAGTTTAAAAATTCACTCTTAGGAAACTGAATTGTGCTGTTGGGGGAGATCTGAGTGTTAAAGTCATACAAGTTATCCAGGTTCCTACCTCCTGGAATTTGTTTTTGTTTTTTTTTTAGAAAGAAAAAAATAATAAGAAAAAGAAAGAAGAGGAAGAAAGAGAAAGAGGAAGAGGGAGAGAGGATGGGGGTATTGCTTTGTTGCCTGGGCTAGAATGCAGTCTAAATATGGGTATGCCTATAATTGTCCTTAATAAAGGAGACATAAAAGAAAATGAGGGAAGAGAATAACAAATAAGGAGCCAACCAACATTTCGTTTAAACTTCTAAGTTGATATGATGTGGTACTGATAAGAGGGTATATTTTGTGTATTTAAAGTGGAGAGTTCTATAAATGTTAATTACGTTCACTTGTTCCAGATCTGAGTTCAAGTCCTGGATATCGTTGTTAATTTTCTGTCTCATTGATCTGTCTAATATTAATGTTGAAGTCTCCCACTATTATTGTGTGGGAGTCTGAGTCTCTTTATTAGTCTTGTATGTCTGGGTATTCCTGTATTGGGCACGTATATATTTAGGATCTTTAGCTCTTCTTGTTGTTGCATTGATCCTTTTATCATTATATAACGTCCTTCTTTGCTTCTTTTGATCTTTGTTGCTTTAATGACTATTTTATCAGAGGCAAAAATTGTAACTTCTGCTTTTTATTTATTTATTTTAGCTCTCTGTTTGGTTGGTAAATCTTTCTCCATCCCTTGTTTTGAGTCTTTGTGTATCCTTGAATGTGAGATGGGTCTGGATGCAGCATACTGATGGGTTTTAGTTTTTTATCCAAATTGCCTGTCTGTCTTTGGATTGGGGGATTTAGTCAATTTAAATTTAGAATTAATAATGATATATGTGAATTTAATACTGCCATTTAATATTAGCTGGCTATTTTGCCCATTAGTTGATATAAATTCTTCATTATATTGATGCTCTTTACTTGTCGGTATTTTTTAGAAAGGCTGATACTGTTTGTTCCTTTCTATGTGTAGTGGTACTTTCAGAAGCTCTTGTAAAGCAGGCCTGGTGGTGATGAAATCTCTGAGTGCTTGCTTGTTCACAAAAAAACTTTATTTTTCCTTCACTTATGAAGCTTAGCTTGGCTGGATGTGAAATTCTTGGTTGAAAGTTCTTTTCTTTAAGGATGTTGAATATTGGTCCCCACTCTCTTCTGGCTTGTAGGGTTTCTGCTGAGAGATCTGCTGTAAGTCTGATAGGCTTCCCTTTGTGGGTAACCTGACCTTTCTCTCTGGCTGCCCTTAGTATTTTCTCCTTCATTTCAACCCTGGTGAATCTGACGATTATGTGCCTTGGAGTTGTTGTTCTTGAGGAATATCTTTGTGGTGTTCTCTGTATTACCTGGAGTTGAATATTATCCTGCCTTACTAGGTTGAGAAAATTTTCCTGAATAATGTCCTGAAGCATATTTTCCAGCTTGGATTCATTCTTTTCGTCACGTTCAGGTACACCTATCAAACGTAGATTAGGTCTTTTCACATCGTTCCATATTTCTTGGAGACTTTGCTCGTTCCTTTTTATCCTTTTTTCTCTAATCTTGTCTTCTCGTTTTATTTCATTGAGTTGGCCTTCGACCTCTGATATCCTTTCTTCGGCTTGATCAATTCAGCTGTTAAAACTTGTGCATACTTCACGTAGTTCTCGTATTGTGTTTTTCAGCCCCATCAATTCACTTATTTTCCTCTCTAAATTGTGTATTCTTGTTAACATTTCATCAAACCTTTTTTCAGAGTTCTTAGTTTCTTTGGATTGGGTTAGAACAAGTTCTTTTAATTCACAGAAGTTTCTTATTATCCACATTTTGAAGCCTGCTTCTGTAATTGGAACACACTTGTTCTCCATCAAGCCTTGTTCTGTTGCTGATGAGGAACTGTGATCCCTTGCTGAGGGAGAGGCGTTCTCATCTTGGGTATTCTCAGCCTTTTTTGGCTGTTTTCTTCCCTTTGTTGTAGATTTATCCATCTGTGGTCTTTATAATTACCGTCTTTGTAGTTGGGTTTCTGAGTGGACGTCCAACTTAATGATTCTCAGCGCCAAAATCTGAGCAACCCACTGCACCGACTAAATCAGCAGCGTTAAGATTGATGGTGCTTTTCTGACTCTGCACCAAGAATCGACGCTCTGAGGCGCCGGCAAAACCGCCTCGCCGGTCACAAGAGTTGCGCTGGCGACCCGTGGGGCTCCTCCGCTGGGAATCTCCTGGTGCGTGAGTAACAAGAATTCATGTGAAGGTGTGGCGTCCTCTCGTTCTTTGCGCTTTCACTGGGAGCTACAATCCCGAGCTGCTAGTGATCAGCCATCTTGGATCTCTCCCCTGGAATTTGTTAAAATCCATTTTTGAAAATCTGATTTAGCCATAATTTTGCTCACAGTTTAAGACCATTGCTATATACAAAGGATCAAAAATATTTTCCATTAGATTAATATCAAATATCCTAAATTATTGATGCTACCAGGGTATCGTAATTACAACAAAGCTAGAATAGTGAAGATTTGCTGAAGTTAAGGCTTTGATGATTACCACCTCTCAGAAAAACAAGTGATTTTCAAGGCATGTGGGGAAAATGCATCAGGAGACCAAGTGAATTTGTCACTCCAGAAAAATGGCTCCATCACATAGACAAAACTGTTAAAGGAAAATGAAGCATTGTTAGTGTAGACTTTTACATTCCTTAGGCATGTAACATTCATGTAGACTCACTAGTGCAGAGAGAAAGTACATATATCTAAGGAAAAGTGCTCATAGGCATCTTAAAATGATTACGTAGTAAAGCCCACGTTCTCAAAACAATAGCAGAAGCCAATACGGAACCATCTCTCTGATTCCACGGAAGTGGTTTCTTCCCAGGTGGATGCCACAGTGACAGTTCAGATGGCCTGCAAATTGTCGTTTGAGACTCATACTCGTTAGGATCTTGTGGGGACTTTTATTTTCTGTTTACCAATTATTTCATCCTTTGCTATATTTGCCTTCTATTTTTAATGCTTAAATTGTCATCATGGAAATAAACTGGGTAGATTGCATATTGTTTAGAACTGTATGTTGCAATTGTTGCTGTATTTAATTTTCTGACGTTGGGAACGGTTTTCCAATCGCATTCTCAAAGGTATCTTGTTTTATGTTTAGAGCAAGTTGTTCTGACCAAAAAGATTCCTCAGCCCAGTGGTACCTGAGCAAGTAACTTAACATCATTGGACCTCAGTTTTTGTATCTATAGAATGAGATGATGGAACCCAATGAACTAAAACCTTACAGCCCTAAAATTCTATGTTCCTTCAACATGGGAATAGCCAAAGGATGGATCCTAAAGTTGTGCAGAATAATTTCAGCATTTGTGCTACCAAAAAATCACAGAAGTA